TTCCTCATGAGCACAATTAAGTGTTCTGGAATTCCCATTCTTCTCAATGTTATCCATAATTTGTTATGATCCACATAGTTGAATGCTTTTACATAGTCAATAACACACAAATAAACATCTTCCTGGTATTCTTTGCTTTCAGCCAAAATCCATCTGACATCAGCAATGGTATCCCTCATTCCACGTCCGCTTCTAAAACCAGGGCTTATGCAGACCTAATTCCAGACAAAACATAAGCTTCCAAAATTTTATGATGTTATCACAGCATAAAGAACCCTTAAGTGAGCTACTTTTATTCTGAGTGCATAATTCATCAGGAAATATTCTCCAATCTGAATTATGAACAGGAATAGGTCCTTTCATCTGTAAAATGGCCTGACTCTGAGATGGAACACTTTGCAATGTTCAGGAAACAACAGATGCTCTAAGTATTTCACCACAGTTTGGCATTATTGCAGTTTGTCTAGTGAAGCATTATGTTTCACTGGGGCATAACTTTACATTGCTGTTTATTTATTTATTTATTTGATTGTGCTTTAGGTGTGAATTTACAGAGCAGAATTTGTTTTACATTCAACATTTGGTGTACATTTGGTTTCACTTCCCAATTACCATCCCAACCCTAACCCACTTTCCTTCTCTCCCTTCCCAGTAACGGCCTCCTCCCTGTGCCCTTCTAAATTATGCACTCCTGGGAGGAAAAACATGGAAAAAAATCCAAAAACACAATAATGACCAGAATTACTGGTCGGATGGAGTCTGGTGGGACCCCCAAGACTATGGCCCTGGGATTTACTTGGAGCCTGGGATAAAACTCACTCCCAAGGGCTGGCTCTCAGCCCTGTAGTAAATAAGACCTATGAGTAGACCACTCAACCCAGGGTGACACACCCACATACTCTATGGAGATGCATCCCTTGGAGCAATGGATGGACCACGGGGCACCAGAGGGGCAACATTCCATGGAGGAAAAGCAGGACACCAGTAAATTGTTTACATTTTTAATGATAATAGATTCTTCCAGTGGGACAAATTTCACTAGGTTTCTTATAAACAACTAGAGAAAAGAGTCAGAGTCTCAAAACCCTTGAGGAATCCTTTACCACATACTAAATTCCTCAGTGAACAAACACAAACAAGAATTTAGGCTCACTCCCTAGGACAGAAAGACGCATAAGCAAAAGAAATCAAGCAGAACAACTGGAGAGGATGAAGTTAGAAGTCACAATAGCTGCAGGGTTAGGGACTCCAAGGGTAAACAAAACAACACATGTGTTTGCTTCTTTGAGATCTCGTGGAAATCTATACAGTGGTTAACCATCTTTATGAAATTTACCTTCTTTCATTTGGAAGTGTGAGTGTATTACAGGGTAAGTTGATCTTTATCTTATATTTTATTTAAAAATGATTCCTTGATTGTCTAATTCTTTAAAAAAAAAAAACATTTTATGGTGGTTTGGATGAAAGTTTACAGAACAAATTGGTTTTCCATCCAACAACTCGTGCACATTTTGTTTTGTGACGTTGATTGCAATCCTCACCGTGGAACAGCTCTCTTCTCATTTCTCCTTTTGTTTACCAGTTCCCTTTGTCCTTCTCTCCTATCCCTTCAAGCCTTCTGAGCTTTATCCCTGGGCAAATGTCATCCTTTTCATCTCGTGGTTGGTTGTTCTAAGGAATTCATACATTCCTGTTGTGTTTGTTCACCTTTGTCACCTATTCTTTGGCTGAAAGTTGAGCTGTGGGAGTGAGTTTAGGTTTGAAGGATATGTGAGGGCCATAGTTTCAGGGGTTAGTCCAGTCTCTATCAGACCACTAAGCCTGATCTTTTTTTTTTTTTTTTTTTTTATGACTTTGAGGTTTGTTCTACAGTTTTTCCCACTTGTCCAAGACCTCCTATTGTGCTTCCTTCCAGAGCCGTCGGCAGTGGTAACCAGGCACCATCAAGTTCTGGTTTCACGGTCGTGGAGGCTGGGGCTTGTACAGTCCATTAGGCCTTTGGACGACTTGTTTCCTTGACTCTTTGATTTTCTTCACTCTTCTTTGCTCTGGATGGGTAGACACTGATAGTTCCATGATTATCTGGTTCTTTGATAACTAGTTTTATTCCTTCTAATTGAGCTCTTGACAAAGAGTACTGCTTTACACATGGCCACGGCTTATTCTTTGGATAATTTCTTTTTTTTCACTGATTCTGTACCTCAAATCAAACCACTACCATTATTTCTAGAGCCCAAAATGATTCTTCCAGGTGGAGGTGCTTTACCAGCGTGTGAGAGACTGCCACTCTCTGTCATATCCCATTTCCTTCAAAAGGCAGATGGTGCCTTTTTCCGGGAGCTCTGCAGGGGCCCTCCAGAGAATAGTGCAGAGCAGCCTCATGTTGCACAGCAGGCCTCTCCTCAAGGGGTTTCCTGGAAAATCGGGAAAAGGGAAGAAAGCATGTTTTTCAGTAAGAGGATCCATCTGTGTATGGGGACCACAGAGGAAAAGGGATGAGGCTGAACCCAAACACTAACAACTTTTGTTGATGCAGAGCGAGAGATTCCGGAGGCAATTGAAGAACAAGCCACACCATTATCCCAGTTCCCACCTCTGACAGTCCCTAAATCTGTCCGTGTTGGGCCATTTCCCAAGTACTCCCTAGCTCTCTGGACTTTCTTTATGCTCTCATTCCTGCATCTCTTTGAATTATGTTCTACATCCCTTCTTCACGTGACCTAGCTTCTTTCAATGACCACATACAGTTCCCTTCTCTTGCTGGTAGCACAGTGCTTAAGTGCTTGGCTGCTAATCAGAAGGTTGGTGGTTTGAACCCACCAGCTACTCCACAAGAGAAAGATGTGGCAGTCTGCTTCCTTAAATATTACAGCTTTGGAAACTCTATGGGAGCTTTGGTAGCATAGTGCCCAAGGCATTTGACTGCTAACCAGAAAGCTGGCAGTTCAAACCCACCAGCCACTCCTCGGAAGGAAGATTGGGCAATCTACTTTTGTACAGATACCACCTCGGAAACCCAAGGAGGGGTCTCTATGAGTTGAATCCACTCAATGGCAGTGAGTTTTTTTGTTGTTGTTGTTGTTGTTTTGGAAACTCTATGGGGAAATTCTACTCTGTTCTACATGGTTGTTATGAGTCAGAGTAAACTCAATGACAAAGAGCTCTTCCTGGTTCTCTTGCTATCCTCTTCAAATGCCCTGTCTTCTTTCAATGACTTGACATCACTTCTCCCTTTGTTCCCTTTGTAGATTGTGCAGGGTGATTATTCCCACGGGTTAGTAGTTTTAACTGAGCAGTTAACATGGCAACATTAAAAATGTCTTCCTATGTTCTTTGTTTTGCTCCCTAGACTGGCCCAAAACAGTGTATGTCTGATTTCTATCCTATAGGAATCAGCCTTGGGCTGTTGATACTGATAATGATTCTCCTTTCCCCTTGTGAAGTTAGAGGTTAGAGATGTTCAGATATTCAAATATGATCACACCACATCATATTTACAAGGGGACAGCTGGCTGGAGGGAGCTAGAAACAGGTGGTAGGTTTGGGAGGGAGAAGAGGGCTATTGAAGGACCTCCTCCCCCCATCTGTGGTCCCAATGGAAACTCAGATTGGGAGATTTAGGTTGCCATGGACAGCTGAACATAAAACATTGCATAGGAATCTGGACCATTCCAGAAAATAGTGAACTACATACCTTCTATTCCCTTGAGGCTTACATTTCTCCACTGGGCTGGGGTGGGGGGTGCCTTCAAGCCAGGGAGATAGGAAATTTTACCTTCTGGAAGGAAGGGATTGGATGATTGTGTATTATCATAAACCAAGCTTCCAATTAGAGGCAATAACTCAAATCCTGCCTCCTTGCCCATTTTCTTAACCCAGGAGAGAGTAGGGAGATAAAAGGAGGTGGAGAGAAGCAGGGGAGGTAGAGTTGGAGGTGTAGAGAGAGCCAGGAATCCCAGAGAAGACCCAGTGTATCCAGTGTGACTTGAAGCTCTAGCCACCATCTCCATTGGCCAAATCATGAAGCTTTGCTGCTGGCTCCTAGGAGTCTTGCTGCTGCTTGTTCTGCACGGGGAACATGGGGCAGTAGGCCTCCTTCAAACCACTCCTGAGGAGGCCAGCTGCTCCACAGACCACGAGTGTCCTGATGAACTCCAGAACCTTATCAAGAACGAACTGCAGCTGCTCAACAGTAGTGCTGATGCCCTCCTAAATGTCTATGTAAGATATCAGCTGCCTGGGGACCCAAGGAGGGGGTGGGCTTGGGGTATTAAGAGTGAATAGAATTCTTGCTGATATCAGTAGAGGATGCACTGACCTGGGTTGGGGGTGGGGAGGGGAGTGGCTGGGCACAGAGGGGATCTTTTTGGAGTTGGAAGGAAAGAAGGCAGGCTTGTTAAACCGTGGGCAGATTTCCTCCCACCTCACCCCAGCCCAGACTTGAATCAACTTTCTCAGGGTTAGGTTGGGACAGAGTTGGGGTGAGCGTATATGGGGGCTGGCACTTCTGGCTTTGGGATTCCTCCACCATACAGACTGAGAGGTAGGTGGAGGTAACACAAAGAAGGGAAAAGGCGGGGAGATGTTCAGAGAGGTGACATCGACTGAGATGGTGAGTGGTGGGTGTCTGCATACAGAGAGATGTCCGGGGGTAACAGGGTAAGTGTGTGGTACACCTCTGAAGATGAGGCACCCCAGTATTCTTTCTTTTCCCACATGATCACGATAATTAAAAATAAAACAAAATCAATTGCCACCAATCGATTCTAATTTATGGCAACTCCATGTGTGTCTGAGTAGAGAACTGTACTCTGTAGGGTTTGCAGTGGACATGTTTTGCGAGTGGATCACCAAACCTTTCTTTCAAGGTGCCTCTGTGTGGTCTTAAACCATCAACCTTTCAATTAGCAGCTAAGTGCACTAATCATTTGTACCACCCAAAACCAAAAAACCAAACTCACTGCCATCGAGTCAGATCTGACTCATAGCGACCACTCCTTGGGTTTCTGAGGTGGTATCACTATGGAAGTAGATTGCCTAACCTTCCTTCCTAGGAGTGGCTGGTGGGTGTGAACTACTAGCCTTCTGGTTAGCAGTCAAGTGCCTTAGGCACTACGCCACCAGAGCACCTTTGTACCACCCAGGTGCTGCTAATATTACTGATAAGTAATAATAACAATCTTTGCATGGTAGAGGCCTTGATTCATTACCAGGTGCCTTCACACCCAGATTTCCATCTGGCTCTCATGATGATCCTGAAATGTCTACAGGGCAAGGAGTTGGGTCCCTGTGTCATAGGTGGGGAAACTGTGGCCCGAGAGCTTACTCTGAAAGTTGGTGGCAGGGCTGGAACCCCAATCTCTGCCTCCTTGCTTACCTCACCTCTGTTCTCTGTTTCTCAGAATACAGCCCAGGGGGAGCCGTTCTCCATCACGAATGAAAAGCTGTGTAACCCCTGTGTGAAAACCTTCCCACCCTTTCATGCTGACGGCCAGCCGAAGGACAAGCTGGTGGAACTGTACCGCATCATCGCGTACCTTAGCACCTCCCTCAGCAACATCTGGCAGTATCAGAAGTCCCTCAATCCTTATGACCAGGACCTGCACAGTAATCTGAACTCCACAGTGGGCAACCTGCAGGGGCTTCTTAACCATGTGCTCTGCCACCTGTGCAAAACGTACCAAGTGGGCCATGTGGATGTAGTCCCTGTCCCTGATACCTCGGGCATGAACACTTTTCAGCAAAAGAGGCTGGGCTGTCAGCTACTGGCCAAGTACAAGCAGGTCATTGTGGAGCTGGTCCAGGCTTTTTAGCATGGGGTCTTGAAGTATGCTGTGGATCAAGGATCTTGGAAGCCAGATCTAGAGGTGGGGGGCTCTTACAATGTGGCAGGGGGTCATCACTAAACCCAAACAGTGCTGCTGGAAGACCCTTGAGAAGCTCTCTCCCAGTCCACCCTCCTCCGTGATGGGCTGGGATATCGCTGAGATGGGTCGAAACTTCCACAGGCAGGGCCTTGATACTGTGCTTATTAGAAGGTGGTACCTCTTCCTCTGGAAGACGGCAGCCAAGCATTGTGGATCACGCTTGCTTTTGTCTAGATCTCAGCCTGTTGCCTTTTCCATCTCTCTGCTCTGTGAGTGGGCAGCTTAGGGCTGGCCCAACTTCTCCAAGCTGAGCAACAAGAATGTCAACGTCATCTGAAGCCAGAAGTGGTGACTCCAGAGCCTGTGCTGTGTCTCCCATCATCTCATCACCTTGTGGAAACACCTGTGCTAGGTGCACCTAGTTGGCCCTCCTTCCCGACCCACCACTGTCTCCTTGACTCTCTCTTCACCTATACCCCTTCCACGCCAGCCCTGATTCTGCCCCCAGACCCCTCAACTAACCCCTTGCCCACACTCTCTCCACTGTAACCCCTAAATTGCCCCTTGTGCCCTGTCCACAGCACTTTTTAGAACCAGCCTGGCCGACCTGCATCCTCTGTGCACAGCACTCTGAATTATTGAGCTTCAGCGGAAAAAGCAGTTGTTTTTTTTTTTTTTTCCCCCTATTTTCTGCTGGTGTTTACCCTTTCCCAGCATCCTGGGCCATGTGCCTGGACCAGAGATGATTCGAAGGAGGAGGGGGCTCCTCAGGAAAAGGGTAGGACAGTCATTTTCAAGGCATACATTAAAAAAAATAAAATAAATTAACAAAAAAGCACTGCTAGTCTGCTTGTCTCTCCTCCTCTTCCAACTCCCTCCCTCAGTTTCCCTGGGCTTGCCTGGGGTGGCTTCTCTAACAAGAGCAGTCCAGCCCTGCTTGCTGGCCCTCCACTATAGACACAGTGGGTTAGGTGGGAGACCTGAGATTGAATGAGGTAGTCATTTCCCTTCAGACACATCTCGGTTATCCAGTGCTGCTACGTCAGAAATACCACAGTGGGTGACTTTAACAAGCAGAAATGTATTTTCTCACGGTTTAAGAGGCTAGAAGTCCAAAATCAGGGTGCTAATTCTGAAAGAAGGCTTTTTCTCTCTGTGAGCTCTGAAGGAAGGTCTTTGTCTCTTCAGCTCCCATTTCCTGGTTCCTTCGAGCTCACCATGTGGTGTGACATCTATAGGCCCCCATCTCTGCTCACTTCTGTCTGCCTAATCAGCTTGGTGTATATCTTAAAAGTGATTGGCTGAAGACGAACCCTACGCTAATATGACCTCATTAACATAATAAAGAACACTTTATTCCTAAATGGGATTACATCCACAAATATAAGGGTTATATTATAAAAATATTATATTATATTATAAAAAATAACACATATTTTTTGAGGACACAATTCAATCCATAACGAGACTGTACAAATGTTCTGATTTAACTGGTCATGTGTGGAGTAGTCTAAGCTTTGTTGTTGCTATTAGGTGATGTCAAGGCGATTTTCAGCTCACAAGGACCCCATGTGACAGAGTGGAACTGTCCACAGGGTTTCATGGCTGCAATCTTTCCAGAAACGGGTTGCCAGGTGTTTCTCCTGTGGAGCCATCAGGTGGTTTGGAAACGTCCACTTCTTCCATCAGGGGCTGAGTCCTTAACTTTTGTGTCAGTAGGGTTCTTGCCCAAGCTTTAGTGCCTTTTTGTTTTCTGTATGTTTTACTGAGTTGGTTCTGATTCAGTGACTCTGTATACAACAGAACAAAACACTGGCCGGTCCTCACAATTGTTGCTATGCTGGAGTCCATCTTTGTAGCCACATGTCAATCCATCTCATTGATGGTCTGCTCCTTTTTCGCTGACCCTCTATTTACCAAGCATGCTATCCTTTTCTAGGGACCGGTCCCTTCTGACCAAAGTAGGTGAGACAAAGTCTGGCCATTCTTGCTTCTAAAGTAACATTCCAGCTGCGCTTCTTCCAAGATAGATTTGTTTGTCCTTCTGGCTTTGTTGTTGTCGGTAGGTGCCATCGAGTTGTCTCCGATTCACAGAGACCCCATGCACAGCAGAATGAAACACCACCCAGTTCCATGCCAGCTCTATGATCCCTGCTTTGCTTGAGCCCATCACTGCAGCCACCGTGTCAATCCATCTGGTTGAGGGCCTTCCCCTCTTTCGTTGACCCTCCACCTTACCAAGCATGACATCCTTCTCCAGGGAATGGTCCCTTCTGACAATACGACCAAAGTAGGTGAGACGAAGTCTTGCCATTCTCGCCTCCAACGAGCATTTGGGCTGCACTTTCTCCAGGACAGATTTGTTAGTCCTTTTAGCAGTCCATTGTACTCTCAGCATTCTTTGCCAACACCACAACTCAAAAGCATCAACTCTTTTTCAGTCTTCCTTATTCATTGTCTAGCTTTCACATGCATATGAGGTGATTGAAAATATCATGGCTTGGGTCAGGTGCACCTTAATCCTCAAGGAGACATCTTTGCTCCTCAGCATTTGGAAGAGGTCCCTTGTGGCCGACTTGCCCAGTGCTATATGTCGTCTGATGTCCTGAATGCTGCTTCCATTGCTGTCGACTGTAGAACCAAGCAATATGAAGTCTTTGACAACGTCAATCTTTTCTCCGTTTATCGTGATACTGCTTTTAGGTCCAGTTGTGAGGATTTTTGTTTTCTTTATATTGAGTAATCCATACTGCGGACTGTATTCTTGAATCTTCATCAGTAAGTACTTCAAGTCATCCTCACTTTCAGCAAACAAGGTTGTGTCATCAGCGTATCACAGGTTGTTAATGATTCTTCCTCCAATCTTGATGCCACGTTCTTCTTCATATAGTCCAGTTTCTCCGATTAGTTGCTCAGCATATAGATTGAATAAGCATGGGGAAAGGATACAACCCTGATGCACTCCCCTTCTGATTTTAAGCCATGCAGTATCCCCTTGTTCTGTTTGAATGACAACCTCCTGGTCTCTGTACTCATGGTTCCTGATGAGTACAATCAAGTGTTCTGGAATTCTCATTCTTCTCAATGTTATCCACAATTTGTTATGATCCACACAATCAAATGATTTTGCATAGCCAAAAAAACACAAGTAGACATCTTTCTAGTATTTTTTGCTTTGAGCCAAGATCCATCTGACATCAGCAATGATATCTCTCATTCCACATTCTCTTCTGAATCCAGCTTGCACCTCTGGAAGTTCTCTGTCAATATACTGCTGCAACCGTTTTTGAATTATCTTCAATAAGATTTTACTTGCATGTGATATTAATGATATTGTTTGATAATTTCCACATTCTGTGGGATCACCTTCCTTTGGAATGGATACAAATATAGATCTCTTCCAGTCAGTTGGCCAGGTAGCTGTTTTCCAAATCTCTTGGCATAACCCAGTAAGTGCCTCCAGCAGGGCATCCGTATGCTGAAACATATTAATGGGTATCCTGTCAATTCCTGGAGCCTTGTTCTTCGCCAGTTCCCTCAATTCAGCTTCGACTTCTTCCTTCAGTACCATTGGTTCCTGAGCATATGTCATCTCCTGAAATGGATGAACTTTGACCAGTTCTTTTTGGTGCAGTGACTCTGTGTATTTCTTCCATTTTTTTTTTTTTTTAAATTTTAAGAACTTGTTTTACATTCAACATAACACATTTAGTTTCATTCCCCATTCACCATGTCTAACCCTAACCCAGTCTCCTCCCTCCCTACCCTGTAACCCTCCTCCTGTGCCCCTGATATTTATGCACTCCTGTTCATCTTGCATTTCCTCAGCTTGAATGTTGGTCCTCTGGTGTCCCATGGTCTATTGCTCTAAGGGATGTATCACATTGAGTATGTGGGTGCAGCATCCTGGGTTGAGTGGTCTGTATGTACATCTTGTTAACTATTGGGCTGAGAGCCCCCCCCCAGGGGTGCATTTTATTCCAGGTGCAGAATGTATTCCAGGGCCATAGTATTGGGAGTCTCACCAGATTTCATCCAACCAGTAATTCTGGTCATTATTGAGTTTTTGGATTTTGTTCCACATTTTCCCTCCCACTCTATCCAGGATCTCCAGATTTGATCCTTTCCTGAGTGGTTGGCATTGGTAGCCAGGCACTATCCGGTTCTTC